AGCTTTCCAGCACTTTTCAAATGATATAATTGTTCTTAAAAACTGTAGAATTACTCTCATTAAAATATATGAATATTACTGGAGTTTTTTCCCAACACCAAATCGTTATTTTTAACACCTCGACACGTGTTTCGATCACCAAGTGATCATCTTCAAAGAGGAAGATTAATCTTCCTCTTTGAAGGGAAAAAACTCCAGTAATATTCATTACTACACCAAAGGTTCCAAACAGTGCATCATAAGCTCATTAAAATAGTTAGGAGTTGTCTTTCAAAATAATATTGATTGGTATATAAAATGGATGTTTTTTTTCTTTTAGTTTCCTTCTTGTACTTTGTCACAGTAATTATCACCTTTCTAGCACTTTTCCAACGATATAATAATTCAAAGAAACTGTAGAATTACTCTCATTACAATAATTTGGGGTTGTCTTTCAAAATAATATTGATTGCTATATAAAATGGGCAAAAGTTTTCATTTAGTTTCCTAATTACAACAACCTCTGTCACACTGATGATAATCAGCTTTCCAGTACCACTCCAAAGCATTCTCAGTTTTTCAAGCTTCCTCTCTTTTGACTGCCAATTCCGTTGAAGTGCCTTTGTATTGTGTTTACGTGTATTTTATGTCTCCATGTACCCTGTAGAATATTTGTACAGGAACATATTATTGTAAATACCACCCAATAGTAAGTGTTTTCTAGTGTACGGTACCACGCTTTGGAATGCTTGCCCATACGGTGTGTTGAATCCGGTGAGGGCTGCTGTTTTAGCGTAGCACCATGGGATTCAGCTCACTTTTTGCGGTGCACTACTTCTAACTGCTTCAGATGCGCTACAAGACTAACCCTTGTTTATATTGTGATAATTGTGGTTGATGCTTTTGGTATTGAAGAATCGAGAAACAGCAATAGACTGAAGTACTAGAATACTTTTACAGCTATTATTATATGAAAGTGATTGTTCGATACTGAAAGCAGTAGCCTTTTGACAGTGATAGTTGTGAAGCAAACACTAACTTTGGCTCAGAAAGGAAAGTTCTGAAATTTCTCACTTGGTCAATTTTTTTCTTACACGCTTTGTTTTGGTAACAATCTGTATTAGAACCAATGTTAGATGTCGCAATTGTTACGTAACATGTACAGCGTGTTCACCAATGGGCTTGTTTCATGATTTGTGGTTTACAGTTCATTTGATTGTAATTTCAAACTGGAAAATAGTATACTTTGTTTCAGCTCTCTAAATACCATTGTTTTCCCGTAATTAATTATTAAAAATAGGATTTTCTAGGCCCGTGACGTCACGGGCCTAGTCCCGCTTCTTGTTTGAGTGACCAATAAGAACAATACGAATAACCAACATTGCCAAATCGTAAAATTCATGGAGCCTATAAACAGTTTCTTATTCAAAGTAAAATCACACTCACTTTTGACAACTAAATCTAAGACACAAGTGCAAGAAATGCATTGGAAGGGATAATTCATTATACAAGGTATCCAAATAACACAAAACACAATAAAAATGTTATTTTTGAAATATCTCCGGCATTAGACATTTTCATGTTGATATCACAGAAATTTTAATAATGGAAGTGTATGTGAACCTGTTAACGTTTAAATTAATGAAAAAATTCTCCACATGAAATAAAATGTACACGAAAACCATGGTAGGAAATAACTTCTACCGGGTGTCAACGAATCTATTAGACAAGTCATAATTTCTAGACTATTTGGAGAATTGAAATGAGATTTGGTATAGTTGAATGGTATGTGGAGAGGAATGTTTTCACATATTTTTCACTTTCCGGTCACTTCCGGTTTCAGCGGAAATGGCTCCGGTTCTGAATTTTTAAATGGAACACCCTGTATATTGTAACATTAATTTTTTTAACGTTCACAGATGCACCCCAAAAAATTAAGCCGTATTTAAGTCTTGAGTGGACTTGTGCATAATAGACAGACATTGACGCTTGAACATTTATTGTTTTAGTGATGACTCTTAGGGCATAGCAATGCCTTGCATCAAAAATGGTATCTGTCAAATCGGATCACTATATTTCAGTTCTGTGATTGGATATTAAAAAACCAATACCCTTGGCAACACCTTAGACACGAACAATGTTATTGGTCAACAGACACGCGGCTAATTTAATCTCTTGCTTCTCGAATTGTTCTGTTTTCTGCAAATATAAAGAGATCTTGGGACCGATTAGGCTTGATAAGTATAATATACCCCTTAACTCGATCAGTCTATGAGCAAACCAAGATCATTTTCAATAGCATGAAACTAGCTCATTAGGTACAAAATTATTATGTTTTGCCAGCACAGATTTCTTAGTACAAACTTTGCTTCTGTAGATACATATAGAGTAAACATACAGTGCAGAAATAAATAGTTCCTTTCCTTTATTCATGATAGAATAAGATATTTAGGTCGGACCAAACATGTAAGGGGATCATTTTTAGTACTTTTTGATAAGTAAGACAATAGTATTGCTTCACTCGTAGCCTAGCATGCGATAACAACCCCTCACATAATTGAATTCTGTTTATATTTTTTTTCTTACATTATGAAATATTCCTGGGGTTGCAGGATCCTTTTTTCCATCCACGAGTTCTGATATGAAATGCGGTTGGTTCGTACTCCTAAGATGTCACGTATTTCTTCAACATCTAGAGGAATCATATCAGGTGATCTAGTGGGCTCCTCTGAGGAATCATGCTTGCCTGTCTACCGGTTTAGAAAATTGTCAAACCGAGCTGGTTTGAGAGTAGCTAGATGACAATTATCCAAACCAGTGGAGAGTTAAACGTGGTTCATTAGAATAACACGCTGCATTACCTAAAATGATACCGTTTGATTTTTGTGAGAATTGGTGAAATCTAAAGTTTACGTTACACAACCCCAGCCTACTCCAGAGCTCATGGTTAGAACAAAAGGTGGGCCTAATGGAATTACCTAAGAAACATTCCATAATGAATTTGTAAACAAAATTCATTTATTGTGAGGAAATGTTGGGTGACCAATTCCAACATTAACTGGAATTTACTGAGGTGAGTTCAGAATCCATATTTTTATTAAAATTATGATATTTATCGTTCATTTGTAAATTCCCAAAGCGAATATAAACTGTATTACTTAGGAACGCCCGGTTCGATTTCCAAAAACTAAAGAAAATATTGGATAGAGGATTGAAATACCTATCAAATGAGTTATGACGAAATCCTTCTTTTTTATTTGAACATTAAAGTTAGTAGCGTCCTCTCGGCGATGAGTGATGAATCACTATTGTCTTTCTTATCAAAAAGTACTCAATATGATGGGGTTTTACGAAAATTTGTTCCATTCAAAAGTTGAGATGAAGGAGGACTAGTTAGTCCGCACTGTATTTCTGTGAATAACACTATCAGGATATTTAAAATTAGTTTTTCCCCATTTCATGCACAAAATTACTATTATCAGACATATCGATCTAAGCTATAAGATATTTTATTGCCAAAATGAGACATATTTCGATGGCCTGAATGAAAAAGTACAAAGGTGAACCTGCCAGCTATATTATTGTTACTCCAATGGCATCCAGTGTGAAGCCTGAATATATTAAAATGGTCTATTCAATTTGACAAATGGTTATTGGTAAGAAACACAAGTTCCTTGTTGGCGACTTGCAGTGTGTCCAAAATAGTTGAAACACTACTGACGGAATTCCTCAACATTTTTGATAGCAACATCAAAAAATATATATACCAAAAATAGTATTATGACATAAGCCTCTTTGAATTTGGGTACAAATTTTTTTGAAAAGGATTTTGGGGCTTTGGATTTAACAATTATGATTATTGGTTTCTCTCACCACATTATTTGTTGTATATAAGACGGACTTTTTAAAATAAGAGTTGCAATTTAATAAAAAGAGATGACAAAATGTGAATATGGAAAGTGTCACACTCATTAATTTACAGTGCATTTTTTTAATGTCCCCCACCCTCTTATTTTTTGAAAGGGTCAACTAAAAAAATTGAAATTTAGGATAATGAAATTAATGCATGAATACTTTATTTTGAAGTGAAATTGACAGGTGAAATTTTAAAGATAGTGACTGGGCGCCATCTGGGAAAAAAAATTAAATGAAAAGGGGGGTCTTGTGACACATCTTGAAGCTCCTGAGAAATGCTTCACAACCCTTTACCATTCATTTAAAGTAGAACTCCTGTGAATGATATCTGATTTTATTCCATAATGAATGTTTGAAATACAAACTGAGTAGAGAAAAGTATCTTGTGTATAATTCAGTGTTCATATAAAAGTATTTGTTTCGAAATGATTTTTTTTTCGTGTAATTTAATGTTTATACGAAAGTAGCTGTTTCAGGAGGGCTTTCTTCCAGTTTGTGTCTGAAAGTTACTTCTTTGCATGATCTACACATCCATGTATAGAGTTACTTATTTTCAAATTGATTACTTTCTTCGTTTCTTTGGAAGATTCTCACATTTTTTGTATCAAGATGGAGTAGTAGAAATCCAAAAACTTACTTTCCCAAGATGATAAAATATATAGAATCATAACTGATGACAATGTTTTCGTTTCATTGCAATTTCTGACAATTTAATGCATACTATTATGGAATTTTACTCACAAAAAGTGATAATTTCAAACGCTGCACATTCTAAAACTAGGTTTAAAGACATTTATCAAAAAAAATTATGAATAAAGCTCAGTATCACAAGGCATATCAGAAATATCTTTTTTCAAAGGGTTTATGGATAAAATATGACTGCTGTTTAGTGCGTTCCTTTTTTCTGTGTTTTTCAGACTAGTTTCAGGATGAATGAAATCAGATTTTTGCTTGAAAAAATATATCCAAGAGATTATGAAGACGCCAATTGAGTTGGTGAACAGTATTGCAGCTCTGGTGATTGAGAAAAGTGCTTGTTTTGCATTGTAATTTTTGTTATTGATTATTCCTGTTACTTTTGATTCAGTAAGTCGTTTTTTTTTCAGGAATTATGGACCCTCTTTTCTGCAGCGAACTGGTACCTTTGGAACCTCTCATGCAATCCGAGTACAATTTCAGTTTAGACGCGACAGAAGGCTTAGCCGATCTCTTTGATTATGATTTCCTTTCTTGTTAAAATGTTGCTCATCCATGTACAAATTACAAATATTTACCTATTAGATCCATTAGTTGAACCAACAGAGTCCACTGCATTACTGCACTCGAAAATATGGTTTTCGTCATATCGAATTTGTTGATTATTGTATTTGAAAAGGGTAAAAGCAGTGTTATGGGTACTTGAATCTTTATGGTTATGTAATTTGGGGATGAATTGTTTGGTCTTAATTTTTATTGGTCATTTGATGGCGAAGTAAATCGAGAACTGCTTTAGATTTTTTCCACAGGCCACAGAGGGTTATTTCAAATATACAGTGCTTAGAATTTTCAATCATTCACCAGACCATACTAAAAAACTCATTGAAAATATTAATATGAAGAATCATGGCTGCCCCATGAGGACTTTATGTGGGGTAAACCACATAATCGGTGTAGCTTCGTTGTTATTTTGCTCAGGTCCAAAATTTCAGCAAAATATGAAGATTGAACTCTCTACAGGTCAATTTTGCCACAAATCTAAGTGACTTGTGACTGTCGATTTCACTATTATTGTTCGAAACTGATCTCTCACACTTTTCCAGCTCATTATCAAACATGTAATTTTATATAATAAAGTCGTGCTTCTTTTTGATTATTCATTGAGCAAGTATGATTACAGAAATATAACTTGTTTCACACTTTTCATTAGGGAAAAGACTTTGAGAAGAAATGAAAATTCTTTTACTCATTGTTGAATGACGTAATAAATAATATTTGACTCATATAAAGTTTGAAATTGTTGTCAACTTCTCAATATGAGATTTGAATTCAGATGAGTTTTTTAAATTTAGTACAGAGTTTGCAATTCCCAGGGGCATCCCAATTTTCAAAAACCCACCAAGACAAATTCACCCACGTTTATTGAAACGTATCAAAAATGAATCAAACATTGGTGTAGTTCAGATATACAATTGGTGTAGTCTAGATATCCAATCTGAAAATAATAGTCAGATCCTGTCAGTGGTCGATTTAGTTTCTCATAAATTCCAAACATTATCGGACTCTCTACGGATTTTCTGTAGAGCATTTGACAACAGAGTTAATATGAAGGGGTGATTATGATAGAATCATGTCTGTCAAGTGACTTGACAAACTTTCGTGCTCCCAAATACATCAAGAAGTCAGGGTCGAAGTAAGCGAGTTATCTTTTATATTTACTTCTTAAATATACTATTTCCTGCACCTGAATTCTGAAGGCATGCATAGTACATAAAACAGTGACTACTTTTAGCTTATTTCCAGGTTATCAAAGGCCTTGGGTCACATGGGATGCCAACCGATTTTTATAATTGTCGTTTTGCAATTGAAACAAGTTTTTAAAATTAGTTCGGATAAAAACTGTTAGAGATAACTTATGCAATGTCTGAATACATTTTAGGTAATCCAAATGAGATAAAAAAATTAAAGATTCACAAAATCATTGAAAGAACCATGTTGGTCAAATTAGACAATCTCTTAAAATTCGTTTCAGTGAACACGCCATACTTCACTTCTGATATACCAGAAAAATTTAGTTTTCAACTGTAATACTAAAACCTGTTCAACTAATTTGATACCATCATTGGACATTGTGGTTGATCATGCAACGGGTTGTTGTATGTTGGTCTGGAAACAGGGTCGGCTTTCAGCTTTTGGTGCCCGGCAAAACAAATTTGGCTCCCCACTCGGATATTTTTCTCCATGTCCCGGGTTTTTATGACAGAAATTCGAGGAAAATATAAGAAAAAAACGAAGTAGATCAAGTACAACTTGTCATTTCAGAGAACAAATTTTTATTTTGATCTCAAATACAGTGGACAGGATTGACAATTTTTTAAAAATAAACATCGAGACGAGAGAATAAAAAGAAAAATGTGCCGCAGCACATGAGATTATTTAGGCAATATAACCGTACGAAATAATTTAATGTGTTGTTTGGCTGTAAACTGAATTGAAACAGTTTATAGTCATTGAAGGTATTTTTAGACTTTGCTTACATTATGAGGTATTAAATGTTCATCATCTTTGTCTTTGCCTTCATCTTCACCATAGTTGGAGGGCTTGCTCTCATTAAACAGACCACCTCTTGTGAAAATGAATTTGATTTCTCGTGCTGTCTCTGCTTCAGCTCAAATATTGCACAAGATATGACCTCAGGTCCATGTATCGAATGAATGGATAGATCTGCGTTTTCTGTTGCAGTTTCATGTAAACATGATTCAAATGTATGGGCATCAACATTCTTTCCTTTAAAATGCTTTTGATTCACTTTAACAAATTCACATATCGACGATAATCTGGATCGGCAAAAAATTGTTTTGATGTATTTGCGATGATTGCATTCCCAATCCTGTTTTGAGAACATCTACTAATAGGCCCATTCCTTCTATAAAATCTTCTTGAATTTTCTTATCTGTTATCTATACAACACAATTCAGTTGAAGTTGTGAGATATTATTCATTACTTTTCATAAAACTTTCTTTTTAGACAGTGCATTTCAATTTTTCAATACACCCTTTAAGCGTCTCAATGCTTGAATTAATTTTTTTCATTACCTAAACAATTATACACAAAAGTTGCATGATGAAGTGATCTGACCAAAACTATTTAAAACCCTACAATAACGCTTGAAGCTATACCTAGATGAGCGATATCAATATTTAACACAAAACTTTAAGTTTTTACACGGCAGTGGTCGTAGTGACTCAACTGTGAAAACACTGTGTATATGTAGGAGCATTTGACCATTATTTGAAATTTTATTCAGAAAAAAAATTTCAATAGTTTTTTCTTTGCTATCAATATTTTATAATAGATAACTTCATTGATATTTCACAAGCCAGTCATATTAGTTTCATTTTTGGCATTACTCTAAATATTTTAATTTTCTCGTAGATGATTGGAAATTATCATTATTTTCTAAAAATTGATAGATCTAAAGCAGTTAGTATCGGGAATTCAGAAAAAACAATAGATGAAAACCATATTTTTTTGTTATTTGTCATTCCCAAAATATGGTACATATCAACACGATAACGTTAGTAAGCAACTGATTAAATTTTTTTGCATTGTTGATTATATTATTATTGATTATTTAAAGGTTGGAATCAACTAAACCAGTGTTGAATTGTTTTTGCTCGATTTATGTGAAGCAGTTGGAAGTTTTTGGAAATCTTCCCCACTTTGTTGTCCATTAAAAATAACAAACTACCAAATATTTTTACTGTGGTACTTATATCAATTTTTAATATATTTATTTATAATATT